GTTTTGTCCATGTTCGGCCTGCACTGGATTCAGACAACTGCTTTGACGGATAATACGAGCGGATGTGCTAACTTCATTGATTGCTGCCAAGCTCACACATGCACAAGATAATTGCTAATGTCTGAGATGGACAGGGATCGGGCCTGTTTGGAGGGAAGTGAAATTCCGCGGTCAACATACGGAATACACAAATCAACTGTGCATACACACCTTTTCAGGTTTTCTGGTTAGATAAGAAATGAAATCAAGAAAGCCACTGCTGTCGGTTAGTTGCTACATCCTTCAGTGTCTCCAACCAACCATTTGCAGTCTTTTGGACCCCAACCTGGAAGACGGAAGACACACCTTATATAATCGCTGTGTGCATTTGTTCAGGCCCAATCTCACCCTTGACCACGCTGACAGCACTCGTCATACAACTATCCAACCAGGAGAAACAATCCACCATCAAGCAGCAGAGCCGTGGAAGACGACACCCAGTCTTGCACCATCACTTTACTCTACGAATTCGCAAAGCACATACCAATTAGAGTCAGAGAACCTGCAAGTCTGTCAAAAGCGCTTTTGTTCGTCCCCGATACATTTAACCAGACAGTTGGTGTCGTCATCGCACTCCAAATCACAGCTTTTCTCCACTCGCCCGATCAACACCAACATTTTGGAGGGCATTATGTGCGTTCTCTNTCTCTAGTATTTGATCTACACCGAAATTGAATGGGAATGGCGAAGCAGGGCACCCTTGATGAACACCGCTGCTGGTTTCGAACGACTTGCTTAACCCACGGTAGATCCTCAGACCACCAAAAGTGTGCGGTACGGTGATCTCATTTGGTTTACATACTTCAATGGCACTCCTTTGCAAAGCAGGGAACTCAATGGGGCTTCGCAGTCAACTGTCTCGAAGGCTTATTCGAAGTCAGTGAGCACTGTGATTGATGGTCTGCGAAAAGTGTGATGTTACTCCATGGCATGACGCAACGTGAAGATTTGATCGATACAACCGCGACTGGATCTAAATCCTGCTAACTTTTCCGAGTATTCCTCGCCTTTAAAGAAGTCGGGCGGTGAAGAATCACAGAATTTAACATTGTGACAATCAGAGCTAGCCCCTATCCGACGGTGGTTTGCGCATTCGTCGCGTGATTCCTCCTTGAAGATCGCAATAGTCGAAAATTCATCACGAAACAAAAGGGAATGCTCTCTTCTGACCAGGGGTTTCCTGAGCTGACGTTGCAGACATCACCGGTTCCTATGTTGATCATGGCAGATTGGGATGTTTCGCTCTTGCTCCGTCTAGAATACTGACTCCTGAGAGATCCGATGTATTCGATGAACTTCGGCCTCAGCCCTACAAGCAAAGTCTGTT